GTTGTACAAGTTGGCACTCCCACCAGCAGAGGAGGAGTGTTCCCCTTTCTCCACATCCTCTACAACATAAAGTGTCATTGATGTTTTTGATTTTGGCCATTCTGACAGGAGTAAGGTGGTATCTCATAGTTTTTTTTGATTTGCATTTCCCTGATGGCTAAGGATGTTGAACACTTTCTTATGTGTCTTTCAGCCATTTTAGATTCCTCTATTGAGAATTGTCTATTTAGTTCTGTACCCCACTTTTTAATTGGATTGTTAGGTGTTTTGGAGGCTAGCTTCTTGAGTTCATTGTATATTTTGGAGATCAGCCCTCTGTCAGATGTGGGGTTGGTGAATATCTTTTCCCAGTCTGTGGGCTGCCATTTTGTCTTGCTGACTGTGTCATTTGCCTTACAGATGCTTCTCAGTTTCAAGAGGTCCCATTTATCAATTGTTGATCTCAATGTTTGTGCTACTGGTATAATGTTCAGGACTTGGTCTCCTGTACTAATTAATTCTAGGGTATTTCACATGGGTGACTTTTGAGGATGACCACTGTGATGGTTAATCTTGATCATCAACTTAATGGGATTTACAGTCATCATGGAAACCAATCTCAGTCAAATGAAATTTCTAAAAGGTTATTTTGGGCAGAAGACCCACCCTGAATATGAGCAATACAATTCCGAGGACATGAATCCTGGGCTAATAAAAGGGAGAGAAGGAGATGAGCTTCCTGACTGTGGATGTGATGTGACTAGCTACTTCAGGCTCCGGTAGCCATGCTGTCTTCACCATATGATGTTTATCCCCCTCAAATTGTGAGACAGAATCATCCCTTTATTCCTCAAATTATCTTTTCTTGGTGTTTTGTGGCAATAATGAGATAAGTACCTAATACAAACACAAAAGCCCATAAGGTAAAAACAGAACAACAACAAAACAAACAACAATACAAAAACTCCATGTACTGTTCTATCAAAAGTGGGCTAGTTGAGATGTACCTCTTCATTTCACTGAAACAGCTTGCCTTTTGAGATTCATTGAAATAGACTTTAGTACCCTCCCAACTGTGGTGCAGCACCTCTAACTCAGACTCTGTGGTAGCTTCAGTTTCTCTGACTTTGGGCTTCAACTTCCTTACAGGTAGAAGGACTGGTGAATTACTTTCTGAAATGCTGCCCATATTCTCTAGCCTAAAACTACAGACATGTCTCGCCTTTTGCCCTTTGCCCAAACATTTCACCTCTGAGTTGTTTGTACAGGTAGCACAAATTACTAACAATATGGGGGTGAAGTTGTGAGCTTCCTATCATCATGTGGTCTTCAGGGTCTGTTCAAGCATACACTTCCCCTCTCTGCATTAAGGTGTTTAACCATCTTTTCAAACACGCAGCCGTCTATTCTCCTACTTGGCACATTGACCCTCTCCTTTCTTTCCTGTGCATTTACAAACAATTGCTTCTGCCTGGAGTGCTCTTTCCAGAGCATAAGATATAGAAGAAGTTTGGAAACTCAGTTTACTCTCTGCTCATCCAAAATCATTCTCCATAGGTAGAAGGGAAGAGTGTCAAGATTATTTCCCCAGCAATACCAATCATGATCGCATAACCATCTCTGATCCTGAAGTAGCCATAGCTGGCTTCCTAGTTGCATTTACTTGTAGTATTCTACAGACTTTCCAGCGGGTGCATACGAGGGGGCTGGTGCTAAGTCATATGAATTGACAAGAGGAGGGAGGCACCTGCCCCCCTTTCCCTCCTCCCTTGTCCTCCACCCTTCCTGGCTTAAAGGTTTTCCTCTTGTGTGTTATGCAGGACAACAACTTTATCTGGACTTTTCATATGGGCCTGTACTAGGAATATTATTTACAAATGCCGGCACCATTGTTGAAATCTCAAGCTCTTCAGTGATGGGATCATTTCCTCTTTTGAAATTCTAGTCTACCCTTGTTGTCTGACACAGATGAGAGTTTGAAATGAGTCAATTTAAAGTTATGGATGAAGGAATGGATGGATGTGAAACTGTGAACCTCGGTGACCTGAGAAGTTTCTGGGGGATCACTGCTACTCAATGGAAGCTCATACCAGAATCGATAAATGCCTACTGATTTATTAAAGACCTATTATGTGCAAGACATAAAAGGAGCCCTGGGACTGAGATCTTTTTATTATACCTCTAGGCCTCTGTAGCTTTTTGCCATGGAAACCCAACTTCAAGAGTTGCCCTTTTTCCTATCTGTTTTTGTGGAAAGGATGGGAGTGCCAGGTAGGAAAGTGAAATCAACAGAAATATTCAAGGCTGTCATATCTCCATCTGGGGTTTTGTACTGACAATTCCCATTTTCTGAATGAGTTATTTCAGTGTACCTTCACAGCAGCCAGCACGGCAGTGCCTTGCATATATTATATGCTCAATGGGTACTTGTCAACTGATTTTATACAAGCAAGTGACAGCATAAATACATACTGGAAAGAAAGAGAAGAAGCTGGGCTCTGAAAGAGTTAGGATTCTTTCTTTAAAAAACAATGCCGGAGTTAGGCTTAAAGTCCAAGTGGCTCCGCACCGTGCCCTGCTCTATCTCTAAGCAGGCTGATCTGATAAGGTAGTGGAAGGGTGCTAGGACCTTTGCTCCCTCTCTGCAACTAAAGCATTCTCAGCTTTCCAGTGGCCCCACAGGCTGCCTGGTTGAGGAGCTCTTCAGAGCAGAGATTTCTTCTTTTCCACTAGCCAAAGAAGATGCTGTCTAATTTGAGGATCCTGTTCAACAATGCAACTCTTAGAAAAGGTCACAATTCCATGGTTCGAAATTTCCGGTAAGTGGCAAAGAATGGGAGCTGGTCAGTACCGAACCCTGGAATTATGTTCTGCAGTGGAGTTCCCACAGTACTTCCTTCTGCTGAGTAACTGTAGTGCCATAGTTAACAGTTGCATGAGACAGCTGTCTCTTATTCTAGCTGGGTTTTCATCCCTTTGTCATTGTGTAGTTGAATTATACCATGCCAACCAAGGCAAGTACACTAGACTAAATGTTCTTGACATCTCCTATTTGAGTACATTCTAAATGAGCTACTGGCTGAAGGAAACTAGAGGCAGTAGTTTACAAGGGCCTTCGACTCTGATTTTTCTGAACAACAATATGTCACTCTAGGGTGTCGGGACTAATTCAGTCCTAAAAGACAAAAAAGGTGAAAATGGAATTGAAGCAAATATTTACAGAGCTGCTGCAAAGAAAGCTTAAGTATCTGGGGGCTACTGGTATCTACAATGACTTTTTTTAACAAAGTAAAAATTAAAAATTCATCTCTGAAATCATTGGTGGAATGTATACAGCCAAAGAGTTGTTTCCAATGAATTTATTACAAAAGGTTATCCATTGACCAATCACAGCCACAGAGCACATGGCTGAAGTTGGCATGCCATGCACCAGTGGTAAAGGGGGAAGGGAGATGACTTAGCTGGTCAGCAAAGCCATCAGGTACAGACATGGTGACCAGAACGCTTCTAGAAAAGTTGTCTGATGACAATCAGAATTTCCCAAGAATGACTTTGCAGTCTAAACCTACCAGTGAAACAACATCCCTGGATTACTAAGGGGAGGTTCCAGCTGGCAGTTTTCTCTCACTATTAAGAAATATACCTTACACTCAGGCAGTGGTGCTGCATACGTTTAATCCCAGCATTCATGAGGCAGAGGCAGAGCTTACTTTGAGCTTGAGGTCAGCCTGGTCTACAGAGTAAGATTCAGGAGACAGCCAAGGCTACACAACACAGTAAAGCCCTGTCTTGAAAAACAAACAAAAATAAATGTATGTGTGGTGGTGATTCTGGGGTTACTTGCTCTCAACTACCTGATAGATCTAGGTTCACTGGCCTCTATCTTTAACACTCCTTCTTTGTTATATGGCTTTCAGACGAAAAAATGTTATACATGATATTGTAAATTAATCTCATGTTATCAGACTAGCTGAGAACTCGATCATCTAATCATGCATTCTCTTATTTTATAGATAGATAGGATAAGTGGAGCCCAGAGATTGTGGTGTCCCACCAATTATTGCCATCATATAAATAAATCTTAAAAATCACCTGGAAAAAACCCTCAGGTTTTAACCACTACAGAAATAATCCCCCAAAGTATATTCTCACCCTGAGTTATTGGAAACTATAGAGCTGGCCTCCAGGCTTGGCAACATTACTAATGGATTGTTTTTTTTCTGCAATGTGCTTCACCTATAAAATGGATAGGGATATAATATATGCTCCATATTAGAGGGTGGGTCAATCATTCATTCAACAAATATTTATTGAGTACCAATTTGGTTCATTCAGTGTGCATTATGTTAGAGATGCAATGGCAGATAAGGTGTGCTGGCTAGTTTTATGTTCACTTGACACAAGCTTGAGTTGCCTGAAAGGAGGGAACCTCAACTGATAAACTGTCTCCACAAGATGGGGCTGTAGGCAAGCCTTATGTTTTTTTTCTTAATTAGTGATTGATGGGAAGGGCTTAGCCCATTGTGGGTGCTGCTACCCTGGAATGGTAGTCGTGGGTTCTGTAAGAAAGCAGGCTGAGCAAACCATGTGAGCAATATATTCAATAGCACCCCTCCATGGCCTCAGTACCTGCTCCTGCCTCCAGGTTCCTGCCCTGTTTAAGTTCCTGTCCTGACTTCCTTCAGTGACGAACAGCAATGTGGAAGCATAAACTAAATAAATCCTTTCTTCTCCAAGTTGCTTCCGCCATGGTGTTTCATCACAGCAATAAAAACCCTAACTAGGACATAAGATACTTCATTCCAGTCACATGAAGTCATACTCTAGTGATAATTGATGAGATAATTTGTGAAAAACCTGTAAAATAACAGATAAGTGCTTCCTGTTTTTCACTCCACCTCACTGAGTAACATCAGATAAAAGGGTGATTCCACTTTACTCTATAGTTTTCAACAAAGAAAAATCACTGAACTGAAAATACTATGGTGAATAAATAACCAATGCTTAAAACTTAAACATATATCCTTTTTAGCAGGTTATGTGCTGCTTTAATTTTTATATTCATAGCAGGTTGAAATTTTAAATTAATTTTGTTTAAATTAAAATCCATCCTATTTTACATACCTATCCCAGTTCCCTTTCCCTACTACTGTCATCCCATTCCCCTCACCAACTCCCCATCCTTCCCCCATCCATTCCTCAGGGAGGGGGAGGTCTCCTATGGGGGATCAAAAAGTCTGCAGGTTGAATTTTGTAAGTAAAACTTGTCCCAAATGGTTGTCTTATTTGACCAGTATTAATATTCTCTTAACCACATGTACTAGCCTTGGTACTAATATTCTCTTCTGGACATCTACTAGTGAGATTGAATTTCTGAAATTCCTAGTTAGCCATTTCTAAAACCAAATAGGCTCTGGAGCAAAATCAGCTAATGTAGCCCACATATGTATTGGCTGTTTGAATACAAGTCACCTAGGTTTTTGAAAAACTGAATAGTATATGTCCTATTAAAAATAAGATAATTTTATGCCGTGGTTAATTTCTTCAACTTGACCACACCGAGGAGCATCTAGGATATTAGTAAAGCATAGCTCTAGGTGTGTCAGAGAGGATTAACTCATTAAAGAACACTTGCCCATTCTCCTGCTTTTTTGGCCACCATAATGTGAGCTGCTCTTCTTTGACCAATCTTTTCCAACACAATGAACTGAACTTTCTGGAAGTCTGAACAAAAGGATATCTCCCTTAAGTTGTTTATATTATCTATTTCATCCCAATGACACAAAGGCTATGAACACACACTGAAATGCTTTGTTGTGGTATTCTCATGTAGTGTGTGTATTTGGCATTTCTGCTGCATTATTTAGGCATACTATGTGCCATATAGATTAATTCCAAACTGCTAGTTTCTCTTATGACCCTCAGAATTTGACAAGGTTCCTTAACGACATAGAAAAGCTCCCTGTATTCACTGTTACACCTTTGCTTAGATTTTCGGCCTAAATCCAAATTTGACTTCTTTCTCTCTTTTCCATCACTGGGGAAAAGTGGAGGGTCCATGTTACACAACATACCATATGAATTTACCATTAGAGACTAAACAGCAAATATGTGGTTAGGATTTTGGCAGTGCCACAAAACTGAGATTTAACAGAAGTGTATAGTCACATACTACAATGTACATAATAAAATAACAGCTGGAGTGATGCTGAAGTCATCCACAAGACACCTGGATCAATCAGTTTTAGGCAATTATTTTTTTCTTTTCGTTTCTTTTTCAAAATCAATAGGCTCAGACACTGAGAATGGTGAAAACAGCAAATCATCAGGCATTCCATCTCATGCCCAAGGCTGTGGAGCCTGGCTAGGTTTGGATAATAGTGTTCTATGATTTGTTGCCAGTTAGGAAAACCACTTATAGCTTTTAAAGAAACCACTAAAAATCTCTTTCTTTGTCAGAGAAGACCAATTTATAAGTGCACTTCAATTTCATCTTCCAAATAGAAATTTCTTCAGAGAATATTGAGCTAAGCCAGCCAATTCTGTGGAGGTTATGGATTGGAGCCGGAGGTGACTGTTTTTTTGGGGTATTTCATTCCAGACCTCCACAAGGACTCACGTGACTTATTATGTTTCCTTCATCCCACACATACATTCACCCATACCCACACAGACACTCAGATAAAGTGATCACAAACAATACACAGAGGAGAGACAAGCATGGAGGATCTTTGATTGTTTGTGTTTTAATGTCAAAATTAAAATGCCTTAAAAATTAAAATGCTTTCCTATTCTGACCTCAGAAAACCATATAAGGCATGGGACCAAACTGGAATGGAGATAACAGGCCAACAGTGGATTTTCCCCATCTACCATTTAGTAATTTAATGAAAATAATGGAAGCCATATAGTTTCAGCACTCTAGTGTTTCTTGGAAAAAAAAGTCATCAGGCTTTTAGCAATAGGTCCACACAAAGCTGCTGCAGGTCTATATTCTTCGGTCCTCAAAGAATTTCCACAATTTCTCAATACTGATGTTCTACAATGTTTTTAGAAATTTCCATTGAATTATCAACAGTAAGTTATGGCACACATGTGTACATAGCAACAGGAAGGAAGGTTTCAAATAATTTTAGTAAAAATTATTACAACTGCTCTTAATGTAGTTTCTATATTTGGAAAAAAATTGTGGTTGTCTGTTCACACCAATGGAATCCATTCTGGAGTTTTGTGAAAATAAAAACCCTTGACTGCTTTCTAATGTGCCTTATTAAGAAAGAAAGTGAGCTGGGCAGTGGGGGTGCATACCTTTAATTCCAGCCCTCAGGAAGCAAGAAGGAGGTGGATCTCTGTGAGTTCGAGGCCAGCCTGGTCTACAAAGCTACACAGAGAAATCTTGTCTCAAAAGACCAAATAAAGTGAATACTATTTAAGTTTGCCATTGCAAATTCTTATGTTTACTAACTTTATGGAATGCTAAAGACAGGAACAACCATTAACTTAGTTCCTGGCTCAGCTTTGCAGAAAATAAATTGATGCCAGAGCTGACAATGACCTTCTCAAGGTCATAGTTTATTCCTGTGCCTAGGACTGCAATTCAACTACTTA